TTATAAGAAGAAACAGAGGAGAGCTTGCTTCCTCTCCCTCTCAGCCATGTGAGGATACAGTGAGAAGGCTGCTGTCTACAAGCCAGGAAATGAACCTTCACCAGACACCAGCTCTACAGGCACATTGATCTTGGACTATGAGAAATCAGTGTTTGTTGTTTAAGACACACAGTCTGTGGTATTTTTGTTATAGCAGCCTGAACTGAGACAGACACTGTATGGAAAGCTCTCAGCATGGTGCTTGCAGATACTTGAGTTGCTCAATAAATAATAGCCATTGGTATTGATCATTCTAAACCCATGCCCTTTTAGGTAACCAATTTCAATGAGAAAGAACACAAGAGCTTAGTAAAAAGGTAGCATCCTCCATGGACTGAGGGGTCATTCAAGGAAGGTCTTCTGTATGATGAAGCAAACAGAAAAGGATTTTTAAACATTTTGGATTTGTGGTGGATTTGATAGATTTGGAGTTAGTGTGACCAACTATCCTAGTCTGTCTAGGACTGGGGGGATTCCTGGGACATTAAAACTGGGACAATTTGTTCCTTCAGTTTCTAGTGGGGAGGAGATACTTACTCCCAGGAGTGGGCAGTACTAGAAGCAAGAGAGGTCATCTCCCCTTCCTCTTTTTATCTCCTAATAGGAGTGACTTATCTGACTGGTGATGCTGGAAAATGGTTTGAGCTTGCATAGTGCTGGTACTTGGAAGGGGCCAGCCTGCTGATCCTCCACCCAAGCATGTGCTCTTGAGTCCCCCAGGTGGAAGCTTGCTGGGCAGGCTATGGACTTGTCTGGGGAGACCACATGTTCAGCATACAAGTGAGAGGAAAAGTTCAGTTTGAGGGGGAAAAAAGGGGTAGGAAGCCTTATGTGGATACAGGCCCAAGCTCCATTCTGCAAATAGCATTACCAAAAATAAAGCTGATATGGTGATTTCTACCTGACATCTGTGTCTATTTCTAAACTGGTTCAGAACTCAGAGGGGGAAAGGGATATAATTAATTATCAGTCATGTGATTAATTATCACCTTCATAAACCCCAACAGATGGATGCCTATTTTATTTCATTGGCAGAAAAACCCATTTCAGGCTGGCAGGAAAAAGGTATTTTGTAGAATCAAATGAGTTTAGAGGTGGGAGTGACCTTAGAGATGATCTGGTCCAATATCTCTGTTTTTACAGATGAATGACAAAATCTATATGAAACTCTGTGAAAAACTCATCAAATGCAAGTAATTTGGGGGAGTGGCCTTTAGAAGCTATAACCAGAATTAAAAACAGATTACAGATAATATAGAAAATAGAAAATAGATTATAGATTAAAACTAAGCAATTTCAGGACTTCCTTGGCGGCCCAGTTGTTGAGACTCGGCCTTCCAATGTAGGGGGTGTGGGTTTGATCCCTTGGGGAGCTAAGATCCCACATGCCTTGTGGCCAAAACACCAAAACATTAAAAAAAAAAAAAAAAAAGCAGCAGTATTGTAACAAATTCAATAAAGACTTTAAAACATTGGTCCACATCAAAAACAAAAATCTTAAAAAAAAAAAGCTAAGCAATTTCAGAAGGAGAGAAATTTCCCCAAATCAAATTATTACAATCAACAGTTGAGAGTTGAATTATTTTAATTGATGAGAAACCTGTAAGACTTAGGTCAGTAAGACTGCTTATCCACAGCCTTGAACACCAGGTAAGGTGTCAAAAGAAACAAGCTTTTCCCCTCCATCCTCACCTTGCCTACCTACCATAACTTGGTCTTCCTCATCAGGAATGCTTATTACTTCCTCACTATTCACCAGGAAGGCCCCACTGGCAAAGCAAGGGTCCTGGTACCTCAAGACATATGAGACCCTTCGGTCAAGCATGGCCATTTCTGGTCTTATCTTTTTCTCTTACCATCACCCTCATCCACCAGAGTACCTACATTTGACTTTTTGAAAATGTCCAGTTTTGGGTAAGCAGGAGAAAGCCCACTTTACCCTGACTCTCCCACTGAATACAGCTCTAAAACCTGGACGGAATGCATGGAGCAGCTACTTGAAGCCTCTGAAAAGTCAATGGTAGAAGGGAGACTGGGAAAGAGGATCAGAACTTGAAATACTACTGATTCATACCCCCTTACCCTCACCCGTGGCCTGAACTCAACACACCAGAAATGGACACCAAGGTGCGGGCAAGAGAGCTGCGGCAGGTGTCCTCTGTTCCGGCTCCAGCTGGGAGAAGGGGAACTCTGGATGCTCAGAGAGTGTGGAACTCGTTCTTCCCTTGCTCTTCATTTTTCTTTCCCTCTCCCCTCCCCTCTCCTCCTCTTCCTTCCGCCCCTTTCTTTTCCATCCCTTTCCTCCCTTCTTCTATGCTCCAGCCCCCAGAGACCTTGTGGGGGTCATAGCATCACATCAGCCCAAACTATGAGACAGGGGAAACTCCCTCTGCCTTCAATGGTGCCACAGTTCCCCAAAACTGGGGCCAAGCCCCACTGCTTTTTTCCCCTCTCTTTGCCCTCTCTCTGTTTGGTGATACCTAGGCGAGGTCATAGACGTGCACGGCAGAGTGAGCTTTTTGTCCAGAGACTCAAAAGTGGTCCCAGGGAACCAGAAAGTATCAGGGAGATCATGGAGTGGAAGGAACTGGGCAAAGAAACCCCATAAAGTATTTTTAAAAATAAATTCCTGTACTCACCCCCCAAACTATATACATGCATGGACCTGATCATTAGCACATCAAACCTCTGAGAACTCTGCCTAGGTGCCAGACTGACCATCCAGTGACATGCACATGGAACAGAGCCCAGCTGCACTGCTAAGGCTTTGAAAAGTGAAATGACACGGGAACCAGAGCCCTTGGAAAATCAACTAGTGGCATGGAACACGCAGTCCGAACCTAACCGGGTTGAATGCATCCTAAATCAGAAATATTAACTCTCTCCATAGGCTTTAAACAAGACCCAGAGTCTCATAATATTCAAAATGTATGGAAAACAATCTAAAATTCCTTGGCATAGGAAGATGCAGGAAAATATCAATTCCCTGGGAATAGATAATCAACTGAAGCAAACACGGCAGTGACACAAATGTCACAATTATCTGGCAAAAACCTTCAAGTAGCTATTATAATAAAGCTCCAAGCAGCAATCATGAACACTACTGAAATCAAGGGAAAAATAAATAGTCTCAGTCAAGAAATGTACGACATAAAGAAGAGCCAAATGGAAATTCTGGAATTGAAAAAATATAACCAAAATTAAGAATTCTCTGATGGCTCTAGAGCAGAATGGACATGACAGCAGAAAGCAACCCATGAGCAAATCAACTTCTAGCTGGGGGCCTATTTATCACTATTTTTTCGTGTGTCTTCTCTCTACTTTAATTAACTATTTCAGCATCATAAACTACAACACAATTTAGTGGCTTGAACGAGAACCAATGTATTATTTCTCCCAACTCTGTGGGAGGGTTGGGCAGTTTCTCTGTTGGTCTTGCCTAGACTCATTCATGTTCCCGCTTTCAGCTGGAGGGCTGGTTGGACAGGAAGGTCCAGGCTGACCTCAGTTATTCGTCTGGCAGTTGGTGCTGGCTATTGACTGGACTGCCTCACTTCTCCTCTAAGTGACCTCCCAACCTCCAGCAGGCTAGACAGGGCTTCTTCACAGTATGGTGGTCTCAGGGTTCCACCAGGGTGAGCCCAGAAGCCACAAGGTTCATGAAGGCCTAGGCTCTGAAACTCACACAATGTCACCTCTATCATATTCTGTTGATCAAAGTACATCCCAAGGATTGCACAGAGATAAGGGATTAAAAACTAAACTATCTCTTCATGAAAGGAGCAGCTGTACAACTTTGCAAACGGGTTTGGGATTGGGATCCTTATTTCAATGTTCTCCCACATTCCTCCTGGGGAATTAATGCTGCAAATCTCAAAGGCCATGGATCTACAATTTCTATGGCAGTAGAAGAGATTGTGAGGCCCAGAGAAATCTAGTGTTTGCCTAAGACCACAGAGCTACTTAATGGGAAAATATGAAACTAGACCCCATGACTGCTGATTCACTGACCAGTGATCCTGTTTCTGAGATGAGCAGTATAGTATCTTGAACACCTTGGCTGTTTAACAGGTAGGAAAATAAGGGACAACACTTGTATAGAGTGTTAGCAATCGTTCATCATTCAGATCCATTTTGTGAAGGAAATAAATGCAGGCATTGTGGAGTCCATGAAAAAAAAAAAACCGAAGTAAAGTGACACAATAAGGGCTATTCATTATGTAGCAATACAGCTCCTAACCTGTTCTGTGCACCAAAGCATAGTGTATTTAGTCTCTTGAGTTCCTGGCTCTCAAAACTTAATTTCCTTACTGACGTAAAATTCACATAACATAAAATTAACCATCAACCATTTTAAAGGGTACAGTTCAGCGGGTTTTGGTACATTTACTATGTTATGCAACTATTACCTCTGTCGAGACATTTTCATCACCCCAAAAGGCAAGCCTGTACCCACTAAACAGCCACTCCCCAAGTCCGCCTCCCGCAGCCCCTGGGAACCACTAGTCTGCCTTCTCGCCATGGATTTCTATTCTGGATGTTTCCTATAAATGGAATCATATGTGCTTTTGTAGCTGGCTTCTTTCACTGCGTATGTTTTCATGGTTCATCCACATTGCAGCGTGCATCAGCATTACATTCTTTTTATGAATAATATAAATATAAACAATATTCATAATATTCCATCGAATGGATATACCACATTTTGTTTATCTACTCGTCAGCTGAGGGGCATTTGGAAAGCTCCCACATTTTGGCTACTGTGAATAGTGCTGTTATGAACATTCACGTACAAATAGTTACCTCAATACCTGCTTTTAACTCTTTCAGTTAGTTAGATATACAGTCAGAAGTGGAATTTCTGGGTCGTATGGTAATTCTATCAAAGCTGAATGTTCAGTCTAGTTTTTGACAAGGCTTCTTAAAATGGTCTGAGATTAATAACCTGCTGCCACCATTACCTTATCTCTAAAGTCAGTGTGGTTCTGGAGGATGGCTCTGTGGTAAGTGGCTGTCCTCACAAAATCTTGCATCATGTTCTGCTGCTGGGAAAGGCAGCCATAAAACTGTAAGGGAGAGAGAAGGGCAGGGAGGGTAAACACGCCATGAGGCAGGACCTTCACGGGCACTTGGCTCTTACAGCCACCTGGGTCAAGGCGGGCTTGGTCTAACACAGCGGGGGGCCGAGGCTCTGAGACACCCGGGACCTGTCCACACTGGCCCCATTTGTAAGGCCCACAACTCTAAGGAGACCTCAGAACTTTGATCCATACAGCGGATTCAGACCTAGATCTTGACCAGACTGGTGCCCAGGGTCCCCCCTCCCAAAGCAGAGGCTGAGAGAGCACAGATCAAGAATAACAGACGTAAGTGAGAGAGAAGGGGGCCAGGGCCAAAAGGGATGGTCCTGATGAGTCCCATCAGCCTAGAGAGAAAGATGGGCCTTGGACAGAAATCCCAGGAGAGGGTGGGGTGGGGTAGAAGGCAGTGACGGTGGTGATCCTGAGGCAAGCCGGTTGGGTGATGTGGTACGTATAAATCCGTGAGCATTGACAGTGAGTAATAAATATCATCACTGTAGCGGCCACCATTTGGTAGAGTTTTCTATGTGCCAGGCACCACGCTAAGTGTTTCACATACATCCTCTAATCAAATTAAATCACCGCAACAATCAGATGAAGCATGTTCCTCAGCTGAGGAAACTGAGCCTCAGGAAGATACAGCAACTTGCCCAAGTCCTGACAACTAGCTAAGTGACAGAGACAAGATCCCAATCCAGGTGACGCTGCTGCTGCTGCTGCTCAGAGGACCACACATTAAAAAGCGCTGCACTCTCGGGACTTCCCTGGTGGTCCAGTGGCTACGACTCCCCACTTGCAAGGCATGCGTTCGATCCCCGGTCGTGGAACTAAGATCCCACATGCTTGCCGCACAGCGCGGCAGAAGAAAGAGAAAACACCGCTGCACTCTCTTCTCCACCCACCGCCTCGCCCAGGTATGTTCACAGGTGTGTGTCACTCTGAAGCGACTCAGCTCCCCCTGGGACCGCTCCCCTGACCTGGAAGTACTGTACGGCAGACGCCTCTTCTGTCCGCTGGCTGAACACTGAGAATTCCTTTTCCTCATGCCGGCATCCTTTCAAGGTATTTGAAAATGCGCTGAATTCTGCAAGGAGAAGAAAGCAGATCCATTTCTACTTCTTGGAAACCACAGCACTCACCACTGCACTCTTCACAAAATTCCAACTGAGAAGCTATTAGAAGATGAAAACGGCATGTTCACCTCTGAACACACGCATGATAAGGAACGGCAAGGTGGGAATGGGTACTACTCTGAGGTGTGACACCCTGATTTACACTTGTCAGACGTATTTGCATTCAGAAATGTCAAGTTTGAGACCATAATGGAACACAGGCAGAGTCTGGGCTCACTGAATTCTCCTGGTACGGTGCTAACAAAGTTCATAGGCTTATTCTCAGTATGTGCTCTGAGGAAGGTGACTGTTGATGATAAGAAAAATAAAATATATGTGAATACAAAATATATATGTATATAAGTGAGTATATATACAAAATCTCATTCTATCATTAAAGTGACAAGTTTTCTTTGTTTTCATATTTAGTATTCCCTAAGTGTTTAGAGAAAAGGTAGAATAACTGGGGATATGTGTATACAAGGGAATGCTTTCTACTGTGTGAGGAAAAAAATACAGAAGTGAAGGCTCAGAGAACTCCAGAAGTGATATTACTAACAGACAACACAGCATATGCACAGTGGTCAAATTCTGTGATTCTGCCTTAGAAATGTCTCTCAAAGTCCTGCCCAGTGGTCCTCGCTGCCTGGGGTCTCTCTCCTGTCCACTGCTGGTGCTGTGACCGGGTCTCTCTCCTACAGCCCATGTGGGATCCCTAATGCCCACCCAGTCTGGATTCACAATGAGCTCCAGTCTCTCACGTCTGTCCGCCCCTGGGTGCGCACCCTCCTCGCCCCCATTTCCTGCACACATAAGACCCGCACTACACCCTTACGCGCCCACCGTGCTGCTGAAGCGCTTACACATTCCCAGGTCAACCTGGGCCTGGCCTGGCTTCTTGACTTTGAAACCCCTGTCTGTCTGTTCTGTTTGGATTAGCTTCTGACATGAAACTCCTATTCATTCTCCAAGATTCAGTTCAATGAGCATTTCTTCTGTGTTCCACAACACCCATAGGCAGAATGAACTGCTGCAACACAGGGGGCCTCAACACTTGGCTACAAACCAGAATTCTTCTCTAGGAAGAATTTTTTAATGTAGACATTGGACCCTCCACCTATACTGAGTAATTCAATGCTCTGGTAGTGGGGAGAAGGCATCTCTATTTTTTTTCAAAAGCCTCCAGTTAGTTTTCATGTGTAGCTAGGGACCAGAACCTGTGCTCTCATCTCATGCTCTCAGCTTACCATCTTATTTCATATTTTACCCAATTTATCAATTTTTAAAGTGTCCATCTCTCTATATATATCAAACTCTTTCAGGGCATGGTTTGGGGGCATGGTGTCAAGCCTTATTTATCTCTAGTCTTCAGAACATAGTGCTAATGTAACAGCCACCCAGTAACAGATTGAAAATGTGAATTCAATAAATTTGGGGAAATGACCAATGAACTTGGTGAAATTGTTTCAATTCACCTGTCAATAGATGAATGGATTAAGAAGATATGATATATATATATATATATGAATATCATTCAGCCACGAGAAAAATGGAAATCCTGCCACTTGCAACACCATGGATGGACCCTGATGGTATTATGCTAAGTGAAATAAGCCAGAAAGAGGAAGACAAATACTATATGATATCACTTATATTTGGAAACCTTTTTTTAAAAAAGTCAAACTCACAGAAACAGACAGTAGAAAAGTGGTTGCCAGGAGCTAAGGGGTGGGGAAAATAGGGAAAGGTTGGTAAAGGGGTACAAACTTTCAACTATAAAATGAATAAGGCCTGAGGACCTAAGGTATAACATGGTGACTACAGTTGTGAACATGTATTATATAATTGAAAAAAAATTTTTTTTGGCTGCATTCGGTCTTCATTGCTGTGCACAGGCTTTCTCTAGTTGCGGCGAATAGGGGCTACTCTTCGTCGAGGTGTGCGGGCTCCTCACTGCAGTGGCTTCTCTTGTTGCAGAGCACGACCTCTAGGCACACGGGCTTCAGTAGTTGCAGCACGCAAGCTCAGCAGTTGTGGCACGGGGGCCCTAGAGTGCGTGAGCTTCAGTAGTTGTGTCGCACGGGCTCCGTAGTTGTGGCTCACAGGCTCTAGAGCACAGAGTCAGTAGCTGTGGCACATGGGCTTCGTTGCTCCATGGCATGTGGGATCTTCCCAGACCAGTGATCGAACCTGTGTCCCTCGCATTGGCAGGCAAATTCTTAACCACTGTGCCACCAGGGAAGTCCCTATATAATTGAACTTTGCTAACAGAGAACTTAAATGTTCTCAACAAAAAAAGGAATAATAAAGTAAAATAAAATACAATAAATTCTCGGATATATGAAAAACAAAGATGATACTGGATACTATTTACCCAGCTCTAGTCTCCTGGCACCTCTCCAATTCCCTCTGAGTTCTCAGAGATTGCCAGCAGGGGTTTGTGTTACCCCTCTGTGAGTTCTTTGAGTCCTGGGCATCTCAGTTGTTTGGGCTTTCAAAGCCTATGGTAAACTCACTTGTCCAATAAATAGTCTTTTGAATATTCTCTACAGTTTCAAGCCTCTATCCTTTGGGGGAAATTGTACCTTTAATACAGCCAAAAGTAACGGCTGCCTAATTTAGTGAATAGGATGTGTGGTGAGTTGAAAAGTACCATTTTGGATTTAAAAGCAAAATTTTGATATAAAGTAATAAGGATAGTCTGCCTGTGCACCTCACCAATTGTCTTCAAAGGAAAAGGTGAAAGAGAAGCTCCAAAGAAGTTTTGTGTTACACCAGCATTCATGCGATACATAAATAGCCTTCCAAAATCAATACTAATTTGGATGTATTGGCTCTGTGTTTGTTATTTTTAAAAAATCCAATTGTATTACATTATACACACTATAATCACCACTCTGTAATCCTGGCACAGGGACCACATGTGATAAACCAAAAATCAGGGTCTCTAATTTGACCAGTTTGGGATGTATTTATGGGATTTAGCAAATTAGAAGTCAGATATTGGCAAGTCCAGGAATCAACATCAATTAACTCCTGACTATTGTGAATTCTGTCACAACGGCTGCCAAGAGAATGTTCTCTTCACAAGTCACCCTTACCTTTATTTTAATGCTTAAATTACTGTGTGTAAATAAAAGAAGTGTCTGTGTCTCCACCTGACGTATAAAGATAGAAAAAAAATCACATTTTAAAAAGGAAAAGAAATTTAATTGTTTATTTCTCCCCTTTCCTCAGTCTCCAGAAGAAAGGACTCTGGTAGCCACTAAAGGCACTGTCTTAGTCCGTTTGGGTTGCTATAACAGAGTGGCACAGACAGAGCGACTTATAAGTAACAGAAATTTATTTTGATTGTAAATTTATTTTGATTATAAATGAACTGTTCAGTTCACTCATTTATAATCAGTAGGAGAGACTGTCTAGACATTGGGGCAGCTCTATGATTTGGGTCTGTAACATGTAATAACTGAATTCAGTACCCTAGTTTTATGTTAAGCTATCAGGATTTTCTTGATAAAAGTTAATCCCCCTGCCTCCCCAGCCTACCTGTATTTCTCTTAATGACTTCTGGGTCCTGAGCTCCCTGTGCAGTCTGAAGAAGGTACTGCGGTCAGAACCATGTATTGATGATAAAAGCCTCTGGTAGCAATAAAAGTTGTCCTTACAAACTGTTCTGGAGGCTGGAAGTCTGAGATCAGGGCGCCAGCATGGTCAGGTTCTGGTGAGGGTTCTCTTCTGAGATGCAGACTACAGACTTGTGTCTGTGTCCTCACATGGTGGCAGGAGCAAAGGAGCTCCCTGGGGTCTCTTTTGTAAGGATGCTAATCTCATTCATGAGGGCTCCACCCTTATGATCTAATCAGTTCCCACCTATACCTGAGACTGCTATGTGTTTCTCTGGAAACACACACAGAATATATCTCTATAGGAAATTTCCCGAAATTCAATTTGCATGTATCTAACTTTGGGAGCAGGAAT